TATGTAATTTAGATAAAGAAGCTGAAGACAGCAATTTTAAGTTACTGGTATAGTGGAAATGTTCCCAAAAGAGACTGCAAAATAGGCTTCCTGTAAGATGAATTTAAGGTATTAAGGGGGGAAAAAAAAGAAAGAAAACGGAGATCCGAACATTCAGTATTATAAACTTATGGCCAAAATAACTAATCAGAGCTATATCCGGGGAACTATGTTTGATGACATGGGATTGGCTAGAAGCCACCAGGTGAAGAAAATTAGGTCTGCAAACCTTTTCCTATATTTTTCTTCAAAATTCCCTCATTTCCTGATTTCTACAGTTACGGAGACCTCCAGGACCCATCAAAGCTCTCTCTTCTAACTCGAAGGGTTTCCAGTATTTTTGGGGTGTCCCCTGACTATACTACTTGGTAAAATTCTTGATATTAGTGAGAACAGGAAAGTGATAGCTTTCTTTTTTTTTTTCCCCCTAAGAAAATATTCGGGCAGATTCCTTAGAGCAGAATAAAATGCCATTGTTTAGGCAATGTTGTTTGGTTTGAAATAATTTCTTTCATTTCTTCTTTTAAATTATATACCGGATCTCTAGGCAGAAAAATCAAATCAGGTTCAAGGGAAAAAAAAATCTTACTGACCGTAGTCTTCTCCACAGTAATTTTACCAATGCCAGAAAACACGAGAGAAATGTCTACAACGTTAAGAGGGAACTCAACAGGGATTCTCAGCAGAAAAGAAGGCAGGGAATATAATACCCATTTGAAATAATAAAAATAGTAAACAATAAAATAAAAACAAAACCTGAAACAATAAGAACAAAACTACAAGATATTTAAATTCGGTCAACTTGAGAGAAGAACTAGTAGTAAATTCTACATCTATTAAGCCTACCACTGAAACTAAATTATGGAATTTATGTTTATAGAACGTACTGTGAATATTACTTAGCTTGACAATGTAAAAATAATATTGACGATGTAAAAATAACATATTGAAAGATGGGGGAAGGAGGAGTAGGACACAGAAATTTTCTGATTTCCTATCTTTCATGGTATCAAGTAAATAGATGAGGCACCTAGATTAAAAGCATAGTTTCAAAAACTCTAATGGTTTCAAAATTGTGTATCTATAGTCTTCCAACTTTAGCTGTAGGAGGAACTATTAGGAACTAATTTCCTTTGTGAAAAAATGTGTATCAGAAATTCAGTGACTTTTTTTTTCAGTGTCTCCTAATTTCTTCCTACAACTTCTCAGTTGAATAAAACTAAATAATTATCGATGTAATATTTATATAGAAATACATAATGTTAATTAGTCTTTGTCTCTGTCTAAAATGATGTTCACCAAACGCTGACAACTGTTTCTCAAGGGTGGGATTCTGAATGTCTTTCTAAAGTTGCTTCTTCACAGTGATTGACTTTTAAAAATAGGAGTGTATTATTTTCAAAAGAGGA